CCCGCCCCCCCCCCCCTGCCGGCCGCTCTTCTCTGGGCCCCCTCCCGATTCTCCGCGTCTTCAGTGACACGCGCTGCCCGGGGCGGGACGCAGGACCCCCCCTCAGGGCCTGATCAGCACAGAGCGGAATTCAGCCTCGGGTCCTGCTCCCCTCGATGCTGCTGGACTTTGTCGCCGCAGTGTCGCGCTGTTGGCTCACGTCTAGCTCGTGGTCCGCTCTGCCCCCGGCTCCCTTCCTGAGTGTGACACGGATTGTTCCTCCCTAAGCGCGGCACTTGGCATGGGTCCTTATTGATTTCATCCTGCTTACCTCCGACCTTTTCAGTGCACCCCGCCCCCCCGCCGGCACTGGCATTCCCCTGAACAGAGCCAGGCCAGAGCTGATCCCTGCGGGACCCCACTCGCTGTCCCCTTCCAGCTTGGTACCATTAGGACAGCAATGAGATTGCAGCAGACTGCTCTGGGGGTCCCCGTTACACCTCTGGCCCCTCCAGTCCGCTCCCCCGCTGGCTGCCAAGCACCGCGGAGCTCCTGGCCCTGCTAATGCTCCGGCGTTGATCTCTCCTAGTCCCCCTTGGTGTTACGTTGCGTCCAGCCCGCTGTTGATGGCACGTTCCCACCCCTCGGGCATCTGGGGTCTTGCCGCCATGCCCAGGGAAAGGTGGTGGCCCCTTTGCACCAGCGGGCGGCGGTACCGCGTTGAACGGGTAACCTGACGCACGGGTTGCCGGTGAGGGATGACGCGCCGTCCGACGCTGAGCTGCTCCCTCCCTCCCCACTCCAGGCTGGCGGGCGCCGGTGGGCGCAAGAAGGTTTTCCGCCTGAGCGACGTGATCAAGCCGCTGACGGAGCAGCAAGGGGACAAGCTGAAGCTGGCAGCCGTGAAGCGGATCCTGTGCTCGGAGAGAGCCGTAGCCTGCAGCGGGGCGGCCCAGGTAGGCCACGACGCGGCCACAACAGGGTGGGAGGCCCAGGGGCCCGTCCGTGCGTGACCCTCCCTCCCCCTCCTCCAGGCCCGGGTCAAGATCCTCGCCTCCCTGGTGACCCAGTTTGGCGTGCCCCTGAAGAGCGAGGTCATGGCCTTTATCCTGGACGACGTCCGCAACCGGCTGGACCTGGCCTTCGCCTGGCTGTTCCACGAGTATAACGCCTACCTGAGCAGTGGGAGGCCCAGGGGCCCGTCCGTGCGTGACCCTCCCTCCCCCTCCTCCAGGCCCGGGTCAAGATCCTCGCCTCCCTGGTGACCCAGTTTGGCGTGCCCCTGAAGAGCGAGGTCATGGCCTTTATCCTGGACGACGTCCGCAACCGGCTGGACCTGGCCTTCGCCTGGCTGTTCCACGAGTATAACGCCTACCTGAGCAAGTACCCCAGCGGCTCCCTGGAGCGCTACGACGAATGTCTCCTTGGCCTGCTCTCCGGCCTGCAGGAGAAGCCGGACCAGAAGGACGGGTGGGTGTCCCCCTGGGGGGCGGAGGC